GCCTGGGAAGGTGTCGTCGGAGTCTGCTGCTGGGGATGATGCTGTGGGTGCTGAGGATGCTGCTGCGGGTGCTGCTGCGGGTGTTGCTGAGGGTGCTGCTGAGGGTGTTGCTGCGGGTGCTGTTGAGGGTGTTGAGGATGTTGAGGATGTTGCGGATGCTGCTGAGGAGGATACTGCTGCTGCTTCGGCGCAAGCTGCTGAGGAGGAGCAGGAGGGGGAGCCGCAGCAGGAGCCGCTCTCGAGCGGTCGGCGTCATCAGCCGTATTCATCAAGGCCCTGAGATCCATAGTGAAAGGCGTAGACGGGCAAATGGGGCCAGTATCCCTTGGTGTTGTGGGGTTTTGTCCAGTCCAACACTCCGGCCTGCTTCGGCTGGGATGCGCAAAGTTTCAGCTTCGCCCTTTCAATACCAACAGCTCATATGCGCGGCGTGCGAGATATGCGATGGGTTATCGGTCGTGAGCGATGGTCGCGAAGCAGGTTTGAAGAGTCGACGCGATTTTATTGGTACAGGTTGGATCGGCAGCAGTTGAGCATCACGTCGGCATGATCAGTCGGCAAAGATGATTGCGGTCGGGGTCGCAGGCGTTGATGTCGGCGTCGGCGTCGCTGTTGGGGCTCGGGGTCGAGACGGGATCGACCAGATGGGACTAGATTGGATCGGATCGGATTGGACAGCACAGAAGCCAGGACCAAGCAGAATCGGATGCGCGGCGAGGCGAGGGCAAGTCGGATTGGAGCAAAGAGTTCGATGGGCGATGCGAAATGGAGGGCGGCGGGCGACAAGCTAAAGAAAACGGCGAGGGACGAAACGACACGGTTCACAGGGTCGGAGAGGGAGGGGTCGGGATCGAGCTCGTTTGTTTCGTTTGTTCGTTGGGTGGACGGAACGGGATGAGATGGATATGCGGGTGTGGATGTGGATGCGGATTGCGAGTTGCGGATTGGAGTCGTCGCGAGCTGGGCGTCGTAATCTCTCTGGTGCGCGATCTCCCCTCTCTTTCTTTCTTTCTCTCTCTCCTTCTGTACGTGGTGTACGTCCTCAATGCGGCATCCGTTCGGGGCTGGCGAGTTAGGCAGCGCGAGAGAAGCGTGCGATGATGCGATGCGGTCGGCGCGTGGGCTTTCGGAGCGGGGAGTGAGGTGGAGGGCGAAGAGCAACAGGCGTCGGTGGTGATGGCAGCAGGGAGATTTCTCTCTCGTGAGGTCCCTGTCGGCGTCGGGTTGGGTTGGGGCGAATGGTGGTTGGTGGTTGGTGGTTGGTAGGTACCTTGGGGTTGGTTGGTCGGGTAAGGCAGGTAAGGTAAGGTAAGGTAAGGTCAGGTCGCAGGTCGAGATATCTCGGGCGCTAGGAAGAAAACATCTTGTCCTCTGTTGCAGCTGCGTGGGAAATTTGGAGACAAAAAGAAAGGATGGAAATGGATTGGTCGCGCGCCGATCGCAGCAGGGTTTCCGTCTTTCGCGGCTTCTCAGTCATGAAAGTCCTCAATCTCACTCAGGTCACGTCGGCGCCCACCGTGCTCTCTTTCTCTACCTAGGTCACTGCCCGTAGGTATCCGTAGGTAGTCACAGCGAGCTCAGTGAGTGAGGTGCTAATAAGGCTGCCCTGCCTACCTAGGTAAGTATGGATCTTACTTTTCAAGACCGGGCACACTAAAGGTACTTTGGGAGCGCCCTGGCAAGTAGGCACCTTAGCAAAGTACCTTCCTTAAGTAAGGTACCTCACCTAGTAGCTAGGAACTTTGAAGCTCCAGGTCCCTTTGAGGATGCAGAGAGCACAAGGTGATTTAGCTTTTCATCATGTTTAGGCAGATGCTATTTAATTTAGGGGCTTTACATAGAGCTTCATCAAGCTTCTTCTGTTATTTCATCCACTGTAACCTGGGCAGTAACCTATAAGTAGGTACCTTAGGTAAGGTACCTTAAGGTAGGCAAGTATCTTGGGGGCTGGCACAGAGCTCTTCCAGTGGGCTGCACAGCCTTGTCTCGTTTCGCAGCTTTCATGAACATGTCCATGTCCTGTGCCACGGTGCGTTGCTCGAGCCCGGCCTGTCGGGGATTTTTTTTATTTTTTATTTTCTCTCTCCCCTGTCTCTCCTTCGGCCAGCTCCACGTTGTGGTGTTGGCAGAGTGGAGGGTTGTGAGATTGAGGCACGCGCTCTCGACGGGTGAAGGGCGCCTGTCTGTACTGAGCATGTATTGCCACTCATAATCTGACGTTCAAAGATACTTACATGTACTAATCGGGGCTGTGCTGGACGTGTGTGGGTCGCGTCGATGGCGCCAGACACTCACTCATGCTGGAACTGCAACTGGAACTGAGGGTCTGATCGTGTCTTCCACTTTTCTGCCCCCTTCCAGTGTCACAGTCAAATCGCGTCGTCAGTCGCCTAGTTTTCTGACTTCTGACAGCCAGCTCCAGCCAGGGTTGGCGAACCTGTTTCCCTTCTGGACCGCCTCATCCTCAGGGGTAGCATTGGCCTTCCGTCTTCACTGCGAATGACTACCTATTCATACCGACGACCACGAATACACGGATATTGAATCGCGATGCGAATGGGCTTCCTCCTATTACCTTATTGATGCTCGTACAAAGTACAACCAACGTCAACCATCGCCCAGCCTCCTCGGACCTCACGAGCACCATATCCTTGCATCTCAACTGCCGTCCACCCCAATGCACCCTCACCCTATCTTACCTTGGCCCAGATACGACGCTGATCCTGATAGGATGGATGCCTTGAGTGCCAATGTTCATATCGAAAGCTGCACGTCCATTGCACTTCTGCGCGTCAGCCTCATCAATCTGACGCCTGACGCGTCGACACTGAGCGGTCCTTCCTACGTACTGCCCTCTCCTTTCACGCGTTTTCAAAACCTCTGGTGTTATGCATCATTTATCGTGACTTTCATTAAGCTTGCAGAGTTGTTCTCTGTTCCTCACAAGCTTGACTTTGCTGCCGCTGCCGCTGCCGCTGCCGCTGCCGCTGCCTCAGCCTTCTGTTGTCGAATAGCCGTACTGCTGATCTTATTGGTAAAGTCGTCCGTTTTAGCTGTCTCGTAGCCAAGATCCCGCGCGTCGAGCACGTCGACTTCGTACGTTTCCAATGGCTTCATCCCGAGACTAACCCGCTTGTCGTTGACTGCCCTGCCGCCCGAGCGCGTCTCTCCAGAGACCACGAGTGCTTCAATCTCCGCCATGGAGATCGTGGGGCCATAGACATCCTGAAATTCAACGCATTCGACGACAATAGTGCCGTTGCGGAACTTCGCCTCGAGATGGCCAGGCGCAGTTTCTACTGTCGGTACCGGACCAGACCTCTTTTTCCAACCGCTCTTGTCCAGCTCGAGAAGAGAGGCTAGGAAGTCAAGAGTATACCTGGCACGGTCATCCCATGTCTGCACCAGCTCGCCGTATTTCTTGTTCTTGAGCATTTCATCGCCCGTGATGCCCAGCACAAGCTTGCAACTGGATGCCGAGTCTTTGTCGGGAACCCTGAGTAGGAGAACTGCGGCCATGAGCATCAGCTTGTGACCTGGGTGGAGATGGTCAAATGTGCCGCCTAGGCAGACCACTGGGTACAGAGGAGATGCTTCCGTGTTGCCGGCTCCCTCGCCTTCGACGTTCATGCTAAGACCAGCCTCAACAACAACTAGTTGAGATTGGAGGATGGTCTGTCTCCCTTCGGCAAATTTGAGATATGATGACAGCGTACGATATCCGTGCTCGCTATTCACATGAAATATGTAGCTCCAGGGGTGGTAAGCAGATGCGAATGTTGGAAGGTCGACGACAGTCGTGTTGTTGGGCTCGATGGCGGCCACAAAGTCTGATGCAAACCGCCTACTGGCGTCATGGTCGACCAAAACAACTCGCGCATCGATAGAGCCCGGTCCTCCATTAACGTCCGTGGCAATGGACTGCTCGGCACAAACGACAGCAATGAGGCTGTAGATACCGGCCACCAGAGACTGTGCGGCGGCCCATGACAACGATTTCGTTTTCGGTGATGCACCGCGCAAGACGGGACATACCACAGCCACAATCAGCGTAGCTGACCGGGCCGGGTGCTTGATCTTGGAGAAAACGGCTTGTAATGAGGGCCGGTAGGCGGCATTGAGTGATGCGCGGGATGGCGGCCGGGGTGGGACTGGCAGGAGCAGGAGACTCGGATTCTGTTCTGAGCTCATACTGTAAAACTCTCGTGGCAGAAAGCGCAATCAGGTGTTGGCTGGAGGCGTATGATCAGAAACGCAAAGAAGCACTCTGAATTCGTGATCACTGTTGTCAAGGCTAAATGCGTGGAACTCAGGTGAGCTGGACTGGGTGTTCCTCGGTCCGTGGAAGCGGGGAGCTTGAGTCCCGGTCACATTGGCGGGGTGTGCCGCAGCAAGTGAGGTCACTCACTGCACCGCTGTGTGCCCGGTCTCTTGCAATGTGTGCAGAGCTCCAGGGCAGGTACACGTACTTCATTACGATATAACCACTGAATGTTGTAAGCGTGACGCTCAGCACTTTAAGTGCATATGCTAGCTGATATCGCAGATAACCGACTTTCGGGGCTCGAGGAGACCTGACTGCAGCTGCTTACCTCATCAGGGCCAGTCGAGAAATCCGGGTGCAGCTTTCGCAGCTTTGGGAATGCTGACTCATCCAGAAACTGGTCCGTGCTTGTTGCCGTTTGCTGCTATTGGCGCTGCCGACTGGTGCTGCAAGGGTCAGAGAGACGGCTCTGGGGCAAGGCGAGGCAGGCAGACCTGCCTGACGTGGATGCTGGCTGGCTGCATTCGCGCATTGCTTTCGACGTCCTTCTTTCCATCACCAAACCGTCTCCCCGGAGCTGCCATCACCACCACTCCAATAGTCATCCAACCTATTCAATTCAGTCCGACTGACTGCGTATTGAAGAACCGACCGAACGTCTACGATAAATCCTATCGGTCGCACATCTTCCCGCCACAGCTTAGCTCGAGCTCCGTCCCCGAGGCCAACATCCAAAATGCCTGGCCTGGTATCAGCTACCGGAGTGCTGGGCTTCCTGGCCGACGAGGAGCACGACCTCAAGGTCTTCGCCCTCCAGACTCTCAACGATGATATCGACACCGTCTGGACTGAGGTTGCCGGTGCTCTGAGCCAGATGTAAGCCCGCCTTCCATTGTTTTCCCGCGGGGCTGCTCTTCACCAAAATGCTAATCATCCCTCCAGCGAGGCTCTCTACGAAGACGACACCTTCCCCCAACGGCAGCTCGCCGCTCTTGTTCTCGCCAAGGTTTACTACCATCTCCAGGCTTACAATGAGAGCATGACTTTCGCCCTGGCTGCCGGCGACCTCTTCAAGCTCGATGCTCCCGGCGAGTTCGAGGAGACCATCATCTCCAAGTGTATCGATCAGTACATCGCCGCTTCTTCCGCGCAGCACACCGCTCCCAAGTCACCCAAGAACGACAACTCCCTCCCCGCTCTTGCGACAACCTTTGCGAGCGGCGCCGCTGACGGCTCCGCCCTCATCTCTCCCACGACGCCCTTCTCTCAGACGACTCTCCCCTCCAAGTCGCTCCTTTCCAGAGTTTCGACCGATAACACCATCCTCGATCCCACATTCCAGCCCGTCAAGGAGGGTCGTTCCGGTTCCATCGCCCCCATCAACGACCAGGCTACACAGCTCGCTCTTCAGCGCATCATCGAGCGTCTCTTTGAGGCCTGCCTCAAGGATGGCCGATACCGCCAGGTCGTCGGCATTGCTGTTGAGGCCAAGAACCTGGAGGTCCTTCGCCGCGTCATTAAGCGGGCAAGCGAGGATGAGAAGAAGTCCAAGGGCAAGTCCACGGACGGCCAAGGTCCCGCAGAGGAGCTGATGGAGTACGCCCTGAGCATCTGCATGGACATTGTTCAGGAGCGCAGCTTCCGCACCGAGATTCTGCGTCTTATCCTCGATCTCCTCAACGAAATTCCCAACCCCGACTACTTCGCTATCGCCAAGTGCGTCGTTTACCTCAGCTCAGACGAAGAGGCGTCGCGCATGCTTAGGCAGCTCGTCACAGATGGTGGCCCCAACTCGATTGCCAATGCTTACCAGATCGCCTTTGACCTGTACGACAACGGCACTCAGGAATTCTTGGGCAAGATCATCAACTCTCTGCCCTCTGGAGAGCCTGCCAAGCCACCTGCCAGTGATGCTACCGAGGAGGAGCCTCTTCTCGAAAACCAGCAGTCATCTGAGGAGGAGGTCTCGGACGACCTTGCTAAGGTCTACAAGAACATTCGTTCTATTCTCGACGGCAGCAAGACCATCCAGCTGAACCTCGAGTTCCTCTACAGGAATAACCGAACCGACTTGAGCATCCTGAACAAGGTCCGCGACAGCTTGGAGGGCAGAAACTCTATTTTCCACACTGCCGTCACCTTCTGCAACGCCTTCATGAACCAGGGTACCACGAACGACAAGTTCTTCCGCGATAATCTCGAGTGGCTTGGTAAGGCAGTTAACTGGTCTAAGTTCACAGCCACCGCTGCTCTCGGAGTCATCCACCGCGGCAACCTCACCCAGTCTAGGAAGCTTCTGGAGCCGTATCTGCCTCGCCAGAGCGGCTTGAGCAGCGGCTCCATCTTTAGCCAGGGTGGTGCGCTGTACGCCTATGGTTTGATTCACGCCAACCACGGCGCCGATGCCCTCGAGTACCTCAAGACGCAATTTACATCTGCAGAGGAGGAAGTCATTCAACACGGTGGTGCCCTTGGTTTGGGCATTGCTGGCATGGCCACCGGCTCTGAGGAGATTTTCGATAACCTGCGAACTGTCCTCTTCACGGACTCTGCATTGAACGGTGAGGCCGTTGGTCTTGCCATGGGTCTCATCATGCTGGGCACAGGCAACGTGCGTGCTCTGGAGGACATGATCACGTATGCTCATGAGACGACCCACGAAAAGATTGTTCGTGGCCTTGCCATCGGCATGGCTCTCATCATGTACGGCCGCCAAGAGGGCGCCGACGCCATGATTGAAGGCCTGCTCAACGACCCCGACCCGACCCTCAGATACGGAGGTATCATGACAGTTGCCCTCGCGTACTGCGGTACCGGCAGCAACAAGGCCATTCGCAAGCTGCTGCACATCGCTGTCAGCGACGTCAACGACGACGTCCGCCGTGTTGCTGTCATGAGCTTGGGATTCATCCTGTTCCGCAAGCCCGGCAGCGTGCCCCGCATGGTCGAGCTCCTCTCTGAGTCGTACAACCCCCACGTCCGTTACGGATCTGCCATGGCTCTGGGTATCTCCTGCGCGGGCACTGGTCTCGACGAGGCCATTGATCTGCTTGAGCCGATGATGAAGGATCCTACCGACTTCGTTCGCCAGGGTGCTCTTATCTCCCTTGCCATGATCATGATCCAGCAGAACGAGGTGATGAACCCCAAGGTCGCCTCCATTCGCAAGACTCTGAAGAAGGTTGTCGGTGACCGTCATGAAGACGCCATGACCAAGTTTGGTGCCTCGCTCGCCCTGGGCATCATTGATGCTGGTGGCCGCAACTGCACTATCGGTCTTCAGACTCAGACCGGTAACCTCAACATGGCCGGCATCGTGGGCATGGCGGTCTTCACCCAGTACTGGTACTGGTTCCCCTTCACTCACTTCCTCTCTTTGGCATTCTCTCCCACCTCCATCATCGGCCTGGACCACGAGCTCGAGATCCCCAGCTTCAAGTTCCACTGCGCTACTCGCCCCAGCTTGTTTGACTATCCCCCTGAGCAGGAGGTCAAGACCGAAGAGGGTCCGACGATGGTAGCCACCGCTGTCCTCTCCACCACCGCCCAAGCCAAGCGAAGAGCCCAGAAGAAGGAGCGTGCCCAGCGCCGGGAAAGCATGGACATTGACTCGTCTGCTAAGCCTACCGTTTCCGACAAGATGGAGGTGGATGACAAGAAGGAAGAGGCCAAGGACAAGAAGGAGGGCGAGGTGACTGACAAAGAGGCCTCTGCTCCTCCGGCAGACACTAAGAAGAAGGCAGAGAAGGAGAAGGTTGGCTACGACATGGAGAACATGTCGCGTGTGCTGCCCGGTCAGCTCAAGTTTATCAGCTTCCCTGCCGGCCGGTACAAGCCGGTCAAGAAGGTACAGTAATCCCAACTCCAACACAATAAGGAAGACAAGGCGCTAACTATCCGTAGCCAACTGGTGGACCTTTGCTGTTGCAGGATACCCAACCTGACGAGGAGAAGTCTCTGATGGAGGAGAAACTCAAGAAGGTGACGACGGAGAAGGCCCCCGTCGCTGGCCAAAGTAACGCCGGTGGCTCATCGGCGGGCCTGACGCCTAGGCAGCAGCAGAACATCATCTCCCAGGCCCTTAGGGCTGGCGCTGGCGGTGATCTCCGCTCGCTCAACGAGCTTAGCGAGTTGCTGGGCCGCCAGAGGAGAGGTGATCTTGCTGGCGCGACGGAAGGAAGTGGTGCGGCGGCGGCTGCAGGAGTTCTTACCGCAGTTGATGAGGACGGTGAGGGCGACGAGGAGGCGACAGTGCCAGGCGAGTTCGAGTACTTCACCGACAACGAGGAGGAGGACGAGGACTAGGTATTCTGCTAAGCGGCGCATACAATGTACTTTTAAGTCGGAAAGGGTTTCTAGAGAATAGACGACGGCAGAGGCCTGTTTTGGGCACGATGCGAAGGGCATCTTAGGGCAAGAGCGCTTGCCATGCTGTACAACTTTAGCAATTGAATTAATGCCCCATTTGCGAGTTGAACTTTTTGTTGAACGTTACGTCAATTAAGGTATGCGAGTTCGATCTTGCGTGCTTGTAATCTACGACTGGCTGTTATGATGATGAATAAGAGAAGAAGAAGAAAAAAAACCACTGCAATCGCTAATGGCAGCAAATACCACACACGGGGGAAACGAATAACAGCAACACGCCTCGCTGTTGGTACTCCGAAATGCGCCAAAACCCTGGTACAAACAAAACGTGCCGTCTCATATACAACAACTTCTCTTCTCTTTGTCGTTCATCCTCCTCTTGCATAATCAAAGTCTCATCTCGTAGTAATCAAAGCTCCCTTGGCACAGTCTGAGCAAACTCTGAGACGATGCCAGGCGTTGGCCAAGTTGCCGCGCTGGTTATAAATGGCCGCATAACTCTCTGGCTGACAGTTGTACGACTCATCTGTAGCCTTGACCAGCATCGTTGTGCACTTCTTGCCGTTTTCGCCCAGTTCGCCCAGAGGAACAACGCCATCGTATCTCCAGCGCTTCCACGCCCAAGACTTGTGGCCGGCTTTGGGCGCAGTCTCAGGCTCGTCAAGGAGCTCCGCCTGGTCCCATGTCTTGCCGTTATCAAGGCTCACGTCGACGCGGACGATTCTGCGCCCGCCGCCCGAGTAGGCGTATCCCTTCAGCGAAGCCTCTCGGCCAGCGGTCTCGGCGTCATTGGTGCCACTCTTCCAGTCACCCAGTCTAACGGTTGTTATGGCGCTGGTGATGGGCATTTCCTGGATGGGGGCTGCGCTGTCCCAGTCCGGCTTCGTCTCGTTGGGTCCGAAGCATTTGTAATCCTTGCGCTGCCACTGGCTGTGGCTCTCCTCATCTGACACCGTGATATGGCTCAACCATTTGACAGAGCGAGCTGCGACATGGCCAGGCACGAGTGCGCGGAGGGGGTAGCCATGGTCCCTTGGCAACGGCTTTCCATTCATCGAATAGGCAAGAAGAACATCGCCACGGGGGTCCAGGGCAGACTCAATGGGGATTGACGCGCCGTAGGCCTCGAGAGCCATGAATTGTACGTGCTTGGCTTCCGTATCGCCAGCCATTGTTTCCAGAATGGGGACGCCAGCGTCGGCGAGAACATCGGAGAGCTTCACACCCTGCCATTCAGCGCAAGAGATGGCACCGACATTCCATTGAAGACCGTTTGTCTTTTTAGCGTTGCGCGTCATGTCACTTCGGCGGTTGCCCGAGCACTGAAGAACCGCCACGATGGTTGAAGGCTTAAACTTGGTCTTGAGATCATCGAGGGTGTACTCCTTGATGGTTCCGTCGAGCAGCTCGATCTTAAGGGTGTAATCCGAGGTGTCGTCAACCTCGGGCACCCACATGTGGTTACGCACGTAGAAGAGCTCATTGGGGGTGAGATAGCTGTCAGCCAGGCCCTCCAAAGGCGTTTCGGCATTGCGAGGCTTGGGAGTAAGTGTGATGAGTCTTGGGTCACGGCTGGGATCGTGTTGGAAAGGGTCCTCAATCGATTGTGCGGCAGGCTTGCCATCAATCAGGTCGGCATTATCGATAAAGCCAATCAGATACTGGTTGAGGATCTCGTAGACGTGGGGCGACTTGTGAATAGTGAAAATGTCCCAGTAGGGATCAATGCTGCCGCCGGCGGCACGGAGGATGACCTCGCCACCGGGATGGGCTCCGACCCATTCGGTAATATCATAGACCTTATCGCCTTGTGTAACCCACGGGCTGCCGGACTTTGCGTCGTGCTTCCGGACCTCGTTCAGCCGGAAGCGAGGGAGGGACGGATCGCGGTCATCGGTCGAGTCTGCCGGGCCGGAAGTATCGACATCATCTTCGTGGGGGACATGGAAGGGCTCCGAGAGGCCAATGAAGAAGGACAGCAGCCCACCGCTAGCGAGCAGAGTCCTAACCCTGATGAGGCGTGGGGGACGGTTCCCTGGGCCACCTGGGCCACCCGGGCCACTGTTATGCTGAGGCCGCTGCCTCTCTTGTGCCTGAGCAGCGGTACCACCTGTGAGAGGCGTAGAGGAGGAGACGGATGTCGGCTGGGTGTGTCTAGAGCAAGGAGAGGCGTGCAAGAGTCGAGGGTGGAGGGAACCCTGAGGACGAGGGGCGGCAAGAGGACCAGCCAGAGAGGTGGCCGGGGCGTGTAGCGGTCGAAAAGGGACGGGCCGCTTTGTCGAGAGCTGTAAAAGCTCGCTAAATAGACGCCGCGGCGCTTGCATTGGGAGAGATGGCGTTGTGAGTGGCCGAGATGGGCTTCTTTTGGGTCGACGACGTCGAGGGCGCGGCTCTGGTGTGGAGCTTGGACGATGAGGTGACTGACAAGGGCGATGGCGTGATTGCTCTTGGAGGGTGAGGGAAAAGTCTGAGGGTGGGGGGGGGGGAGGCGAGCTGTTCATAAATCAGGTCGTCTGCATAATGGAGCCGGATTGTGCAGACGGACTGTGCGTTGAATTGTGCAGTCGGCGTCCAGTGGGGCCGTGCACGTGTGGAGTGAGTACGTAAGGAACCTAGGTACACTGTGCCGGACGTGGAGTCTCCTTCAGAGTGTGTGTGAGTGTGTGCCCAGGTGAAGTCTCTTTTCTCTCCAGCGGGAACATGGAAAGCGATGAATTCGGGGTTCTGACATTGGCTCTTTCCCACTCTTAAACCGACCATAGACTCGCATCTGAGCTGCCCGTGCATCATTACAAGACTTGGCTTCTGTAGCAAATGGTGGAAGACGCCGATGGTTGCCGCAAAATCACCCACGTGGTCGCCGAAGAAGACCGTCGCAGCCCGCCCCGACACGTCTCAACCCTCAATCCCGGGCCTTCGTGAGTCGGCGAACAACTGAGTCGGCGATAGCAACCGAAGCTGTCTGTGGCCACGTCCAACCACTGCGGCGCTAGGTCCATATAATATTCTCCCCGCAACTCTAATCGAAGTGCATTTTAATTGCCTTGGTTGCATTGATGGAATCTTCGGCGATCAGTCGGTATCAGTCGATGTCGACGGCGTTGTTCTTCATACTAAGCTGCAGCTGGCTGCTGTAAAGTACAGCTTCTGGACAGAAGGGGTATTTGTTCGCTATATGACATTGCAGAAGCTTCCAACAGGGCTTCAGGTCGATTTCCTGCTCAGAGCACCTTGGAATCTGGAGTTTGCTGGCCATCCCGAGCTGCAGCTTGAACCTTTTCGGGAGTCTTGTCTTTCGGAGTCTCGACATCACTGCCCTGAGTGCCCTCGATATCCATGCCCTCCCGCACCCAAATCGTCTGCGGTATGAGAGACTCCCTCGCCGGCACAAGCCAGCTGAGTATCGTATATAAAAAGATTGACACAACGAAGCCAAAAAGCCAGTCGAAGCTGTACAGATGCTGCGCACCGTCTGAGATCTTGACTGCCGGGTAGCCGCTGATAGCCAGTGCCATGCCCGGCAACGAAGGCGCTACAGGAACGATAAAGGCAACAAGCGCTCTCCAATTAACGCCCGCATCGAAACGGTAGCGGCCGTGGGGATCGTACAGCCCTGCGCATCAAACGTGTCAGTCTCGTTGTCAGTAATGCCTCGAATCCGAATATACTCACCAGGCAGGTCGTATCGCTGCTTCTTGACGAGCCAAAAGTCTGCCGCCATGATGCCGCTGATGGGCGCAAGGAAGACAGCATAGGCGCCCATGAAGTTCAGGAATGTCTGCGCCGAGCTGAGGATCTTCCACGGGACCAGAACCCAGCCGCCAATCACCGCTGCGACCATGCAACCCCTCTTGATGTTCAAGTAGCGGGGGAACATGACTGTCAGATCGTTCGCAGCACTAATGGAGTTCGCTGTAATGTTTGTTCCGACAGTGGCAATGAACCATGCTAACGCCGCAAAGAAGGCAGCAGCTCGGCCTCCGGATCCATTGGCAAGCCAGAGACTGACAATGTCAAGCGGATTCCAGAGGTACTCGCCCACAAACACCTTTGTTGCTGATGTCGTGATGATACCGAGAGTCCCGCAGAGTGTAAACACGAGAGGGACAAACGGTAGTTGCACGAGCTGGCCATTGGGGCTCTTGGAATAACGCAAAAAGTCGGGGATGTTGACGCCCATGGTGGCCCACTGCCCCGTCACGCTCGACATGCAGGACAGCCACAACCAAGCGTATTGAGGCGTACCCGAAGGCACTTCTGGCTCCAACTTGAAGATATCTCCGCCACCACCTGCTTTCTTAACTGCCCATCCCATCGTACCAAGAACTACGGCAGGGGCTGCGATAAGCTTGACGTAGAACAAGGGCCGGAGCTTCGTCGGATGAATGAGTAGGAGAGGGAGCTGGAGAACCCAAAAGAGGAAGAAACTTGGATGGAGGTCAGCTAATAGTCAACGGCCGGTGGCAAACTCGTCAACGCTTACGAGCACATTCCCATCGATGTAATACCGGCGGACTCTGGCAGTGTATTTGGGATCCTCGCATAGGAAGGTGCCATGGCGCTCAGCATGATTGTGAGACAATAAGAGCCATTGGCACACTGAACGCCGAACCAGAACATGGCCAGAATAGCGCGACTGACGATGGCGAAGTAGCGGAAATAGAACCCAAAGCTCCCCGTGGCTATTACTGAAAATGGGACATGAAGTCTACTTCCAATAGCACCGTTGAGAACCATGGCTATGGCAATGGCAAAGGTTCCGACCGCCATGGCAGGGATAGCTCTACACCGAGTAAGCACTCCCCTCAAATGTCGTCACGCCTGATTGCGACTTACTCTCTCCAGCTCAATCCCACAGCCAGGATACTTCCTGCTGTTTGCAATGTCGACAGATTCATCAGGTCTGAACTCCAATAAGCCAGAATCGTCCATATGCT